TGCAAATTCGGCTAATTCTGTCACTTCGTTGACCCAATTAGAGACCTTCTCATTAACATATTCCTCCAGATACTCTCGTGAACCTAGCGCTGCTCCCAGATGTTTCTGCCCATGCACTGTTACATTGATATCCGTTCCGTGGAAGACTTCTCTCACACTTTCTTCCTTTTCGGGCTTAACAATAATCCAGCATTTCTCGTTTTTCGGAAAATATCCCAAGTTTGGACCAAGAGTATTCAATGCATCCCACCAATCTTTGATTTGTGTCACACGACCAGCTCCACTCGCATCGTCTGCGAACCAACACTGCTTCACGGTAGATGCGGCCTGCAGACTCGTGATCAAAGGCAGGGTACTTATCGCATAAAAGGACATTGCCAAAGGATCTCCTTGTGTGGTTCCTTCTGCTGACGCAATCTCTTTGCCGCCAACAATAAACAGCCGAGCTGTCTGTCTGTAGGTGTTTATAGCGTAGGCAGCGATTATCGGACATAACACACGGATGTTATGCAGAGCCACAGTTCTGTTGAGTGCATTAAATGCATTGGAAGCATCGATAAGTAAAACAGCATCAATGTCATCAGCTTCAAACAGTGTGTTCATTGCATGTATTGCAGCCTCACTTCCAGACTTTTGCCCAGCGCATAATTGTAACGATCCACTTGCTTCCACAACATCTTTCTTTGCAAAGCTCATAACACATTTTGCACTTATCCTCCTTATTACCTCTCCTACTCCGATAGGTCTTACCGCACCTTCGCCTTTGTCTAGTGGAATTAAACGACTAGCAATCAATGCTTCAATAGTGGTAGGATCGATATATTGTGTGCACGAAGTCTTGGTCATTCTGGCTATAGCTTCGCACAGTCTTGTACATGATTGCTTAATGGACTTACATGCCAACATTCTTCTAAAGCCGTTAGCATCGACACCAGACGGGCCTCCGGATCTCTTTGTTCTCAAAGCGGCTTGTCTAACCATCTCACCATTGATCTGTGAGTAAATAGATTCAGGTATCTCGTCATTGAGCGGCCCAAATAATACCGATCCGAGCTTTGCTGGTTGTGGCTCAGTATGCTTCTGTTTTAATTGCGTCATTACATCGTCAGTTAACGTTAACACGCCGCCATTTGAGGTTTCACTCAGGAAGCGAAGGTCTGAGTTGATTTGACCTTCTAGCACGAGCTTAGCAAAGACTTTAGCTTTATCGGGGTGGTTTTATCCTTTAAATTTTCCAATACGACTTTGTATGATTGACGCCTCACGTATTAGCTTACTGATCTCACCGTCCTTCCAAAGTGCAAGTCGCTCTGACAAGGCATCTTGATGGTCCTTTGCCTTGGACTTCGGGTTTGGCTTTTGAAGCCCAACGGCGGGAAGTACAAAAACAGCTTTTAGGGAAACATGTTGATTTTCCGAACCGCTATTCCAGTCGTTTATATGCATCGTTATTTGATCGATAAAATCCCTTCCTATTTTCCCGTATGGCACTAGAAAAACATTCTTTTTCCAAGTTGTAATTTCATCATATGCATCTGTAATGTCTGAAGTCGGTATAACTATTGTTCATCCATCGCCTCGCTTCCCCCAATTAATCATAGGTGGTTTATTTACATTATTATACTCCGGAAGACAGCCCGAGATAATTGCATTGTCTTCGTTCTGGTCGAGTGCCCCCGGAATTTCAAGTTGACTATTATGCAAATCGTGGCGGGTTGTTGTTTGCAATTCATTCGTTTGATTTGTATACTGCGATTCATTAATCAAGGCGGCATCTTTCGCCGACATATCGAAACCGTTTGAGCCCTCTCCCGTTTGCGAATCCCGTATTAAGTTGTCCTTATTCAACTCCGGTAAATTGCTTTGGTTTACAGCAACAGAATCTCTTGATACGTTTCTCGAGTCCCCCAGCTCCAAAGATTTCTCCAGCCTTAAGCTTGCAGCTTGATCACGCAAATTCTGGCTTGAGAAGCCAAAACCGTTATATCCTTACTCATCCCATAGCTCCTTCATGAGTTTAATATAGCCTTTTTTCTTGCTATTTCCATCCAACGGTGGTTGTTCCATTTGTGTCATTGCTACAGCCTCGCGTTTGCAACTCAAAAGATCCTCGTTCATTTGATCTGTCCATTTACGCCTGTGTTTATATTGCCTTCGATTAGCCATATTGACTTGCTATTGCTGACATAGAGTTTCACAAAATCGTTTAAACTATTGCCTTTCTGAGTTCATCTGTTGGAAATAGTATTGTTTACACAGCAAACTAGATTTTGTGCAGGAATTTCAACAACAACAAAATTATAGTATAAAGTTGTATTTTCGTTTATAAAACACAGACGTTTCTTCCTGACGTGTAGCATGTGGCCGCCATTATAATAATAATAATAATAATAATAATAATAATAATAATAATAATAATAATAATGATAATAATAATAATAATAATAGTAATAATAATAATAATAATAATAATAATAATGGAAACTTTTTTAAATGTTTTTCTTTACATACATATACAATCGTAATTCTCTCTCATAAAGGTAACTTACGGTTGGCTATTTGAATCACAATTATACTAAACTAAAATAACAGAACAAAGTGCACGCAATATATATATATATATATATACAATGAGATAAGTCAAATTGTTAGTAAATCCGGATTTTCCCATTCCTTATTTCGGCAACAAAAAATGTAATATGTAGTTCTAATAGCAATAGTCATCATTTTCCTAACGCAGTACATTTGGTAGTTTTTGTCAAGACCAATACTTTCTAACATGTCTAAAAATGTATAACATTCTTCTGCAAAAATACCTAAAGAGCTGATGGAGAGACTTATAAAGTTAACTTGGTTAAAATTTTTACTGACTAGCTGTCTCAATAATTCTCTATATTTATCCTTCTTCCGTTTTACGTTGTTTTTGAGGTTTGTCTCATAACCAGTGGTGAGTTCAACCACATATAAGGAACCATTTGAGCACGATAATAACAAATCTGGGCGATACGTATGACCAGTAAGTATTGAAGGGCTTTTGAATCCATTTAGATCAGCGTAGAGAGTAGAACCGTCAACAGTTTGTAAAGTTATATGAGCAAGAAAGTTCAGGACTGAATTGTGTCTCCACGTAAATCGGTCGAGATAAAACTGACATCCAGCTACTATGTGTAGTAATGTTTCAGGGCTAAGACAAAAAGAACAGTCTGAATTTGAAGATATTGCCCATCTGTTTAGGTTTTTGCGCGTCGGAAGAGAGTTGTTAATGTAACGAATGGTAAAGTTGTAAATGTTTTTCGGGAGCTTTGATTGGGCGATGGACCACACCTTGTTAAGCTGAGGTAAAGCGAACTTCGTGACGCTGCAGAAAAAGGATCCTTGACTGGTTAATTGGTTTAGGAGTTTGTTTTCGTGTCCAGAACGGAAATCTTTGAGAACTTCCTTAGTAGAGTTATAAGCGTCATATTGGATATTAGTATGGTTACTGGTTGCTCTCCACAGGTAGTTAGTTGATTCACTAGGAGAAAATTTTAAAGCTTTTCGGAGGACTGTTTGACACTGGATAAATTTTACAGATGGAGGATAAATACTCAGGCCAAATTTGTTATTTGTTAGAAAGACAGTACTTAGTGTTCCTGATATTGGTACATCAAGCCATCTGCGGATATATTTGTTGGCAATAGAGTCGATATTTTCAGTAACCCATGTTTTAGAGAGTGTTGCGACGGTAAAGTGCCAGGCTAACTTGGACAAGACGTAGCGACTGTAGAGGAGCAGTTTATTTTTGGGGTGTAGTGGCTTTGAGTCAATATCAGACATTAGTTCATTAAGTAGGGTGGTCAGTTCAGTTTTGTGATTATCATTCGACATGTGGAAATCAAAGTAACGTCCTAAATATTGAAATGATTCTCCAATGGTGATTTTTGTAATAATAATAATAATAATAATAATAATAATAATAATAATAATAATAATAATAATAATAATAATAATAATAATAATAATAATAATAATAATAATAATAATAATAATAATAATAATAATAATAATGATGATAATAATTTTAAACAACAGAAATCTTTATTAATAACATGATAATTTATACAAATATATCACATAATTAGACTTTCAATTAAATCAGGAAAATAGAGAAACAGTTCACTATATTAGACAGATAGGTCCATTCTCTACACTTTGTATCAATAGTAGCTAATAAAAATTCAGTACGTCTGGGTTATTCCACGGCTTGTTTCTTCTGCAGTAAATGTAGAATGTTGCTCTCAGAGCTACCTCCATACATTTTTTAATAATACGTTCGTCGTTCATTTCAAGTGTTCGTAATAATCTACGAAATCTGTCAATATCTTTCGACACAAACCCTAGAGTGGTTACTTCAAGTGTAATAACTTCAAACGCATAACACGCCGTGATCAGCTCAGATCTTAGATGTCTGTATCTTTCTTTCTTGCGACGTTTAGCCTTCGTACAATTGGTTTCGTAGGGAACAGTTAATTCAACCACATATACAGAACCCTTAAAATCCACCACTATATCAGGTCTTAGCGTTCGAAATAAAGTTGAAGTACAGGTCGTACCTGAATTAGGACAGTCAGCAAACAGTCGAAGATCTGCACCAACTGCGACTTTTAAGTGATGAATAATAGTCATCAGAATCGAGTCATGCCGCCAAGTATAGCGTTGTTGTTCTAGGGCTACCTTGCAGTTGGAAAAAACGTGTAGCTGGGTTTGTAACTTGTTGCACAGCTCACAGTTGGCGGAGTCACGAATGTTCCAGCGCTTTAGGTTAGAATTATTTCCTAAACTTAAAATTAACGCTCTCCTAGCAAAGCATACTATATTGCTGGGCATTCGAGTGACAATTTCGTGCCATACTTTAATCATCTTCTTATAGCAAGTATCAGTTAAGCAGGTAATGATCACGGATTGTTCTTTTAGTTCTACAAAGTTTGACCAAATTTCGTTAAGGTTTTTCTTTACCAGAATCTTCTTTGCAGCGTTTCTTAACATATATTGTTCAGAGATACCAGCAGCCGCCCGTTCAATAATATCATCAGTGACGATGTTTTTTTATGACGTTTTGGTATATAGCTGTTGAGTATCGGAGTTGACAGAAGTCCTCAAGATTCTGCGCACTGTCAGTTTACATTGATTATATATGTCAGAGGGGGAACAGAAATCAATTCCCAGTTGTAATTTAGGAAGCTTTAGATGACTAATGTTACCGCTGATTGGGATCTGGAGCCATTTCCGGATATATTTGGAAATTATAGAGTCCAGATTAGAATGTATCCAGCTTGTAGTAAGCGGGTAGATTGAAAAACGCCAGAAGAACTTTGAGTAGACATAACTTTGAACCACGCGTATTTTGGAAAAAGGATTTATTGGGATAAGATCAATTTTCTTTAAGTAGTGTTGGATTTTGTCAAGGATCTCAATTTTGGTTTCAGTACAATCCATTTCAAAATTGAATTGTTTACCTAAATACATAAAACTTTCACCGTCCTCGATTGGGGGAACCTGTTGACCAGAGATTTTTATAGTAGGTTTTACTGGACTGCTTTTGTCCCAAACTTTTTGATCCCAAAAGTGTGGCACTTATTTACTCGGATATATAAGTCTGCCCAAGAGGACCATTTACTAAATGCATTACACAGTAGTTGATTGTCTTCGTTATGTGCAGATATAATTGCAGCATCGTCCGCAAATTGGAACCAATGACGAGGGTTTAAAGATATATCATTAACATAACCAAGGCACTGTATCCTTTCATCATTTATCGTGTTAATGAGTGAATTCACGCATAAATTGAAAAGCAAGGGGGACAAACAGTCTCCCTGCAGTACGCCCCGTTCTACAGATATCGGTATGGTTATAAAATTCTTCGTCAAGATTGAGATACCATAATCAGTGTAAAGGTTTTCTATCATACCAGTGATTTCGTCAGGAATGTGGTGACTTTTTAAAATAGATTTTATCAGGTTATGGTGCACTTCTCCAAATGCGTTTTTGAGATCGATTAGAGTGACAATGATAGACCGCTGCTTGTTGCGGGCGTGGTTTAATAAATAGTTTAACAGTTCGGTATGTTCAACTGTACCAGACAAGCCTGGCCAGAAACCCTTTTGAATGTTTGTTTCGATATATTTATTATCGCGCACGAATTTGAAAATTTTGTTCCTTATCGCAGAGGTGAAAACTTTCAACATGACTGGCTCTAAAACAATTGGGCGAAAATTAGCAGGATTGTCAGGTGAATCCTTTTTGTAAATGAGTACCGCAACAGCACGTTTCCAGATAGTCGGAATATATTTTTCGGTCCAGCATTTCGAGAGGAGTCTCCAAAGCTGTGTTCTCAGGATGGGGCACCGTTTAAAAGGAATAATACTTATTTGGTCAATAGGGCAAGGAGAACCACTACTTTTCATTTTCCGAATTATTTTCGTTATTTCTTGGTAAGTTGGACATTCCAGGTCGAAATTGCTCGATGCACTGGAAATGGTTTAAGCCAAGAGGGAAGGTTGAATGTTCGGTTTTTATGCTTTTCGAAGAAAATATTTCTAAAATAATCATAGCAGGACGATTCGTCAAAATTTGGTTCTTGTGTCTCTGATTCTTCAAACTCTTTTTTACAAAATTTCCAAAAATCTTTACTTAATTCTTCTTCATAATTACGCTGAACATGTGACCGCAATTTCTTCCGCAACAGTCTACTGACATATTTTATTTCTTCCAGTTTGCCGTTCTGAAGTTTAAGGTTTCTGAGGCATTTCTTTAGCTTTGATTTTGACATATTATTATAGTGATTGAAATCGTTCCTAGCTTTAACTTGGCCATAATTGGCACTAAAATACGCCCACATAGTTCCATTCAAATGATCGATTTCCATATTCAAATTTCTTAGTTCCCTAGAAGTGTCTATCTGCATACGAAAATATTCGTTTGCCCTGTCCCATTCAGATTTCGACCGTGGGAGTTTAACTCCCACTAACAGCGATGGTTTTTGACTTGGAAAAATAGCACTAGGCATTTCGGACAAAACTTCGCCCGCTACGTTCAAATTAGGGTTGTTCACTTCAACAAATAAGTCCGAAAGGTTGCCGCTACTATTCCCTATATAGAATGATCGACGATGCAAAGTCAACGAGCGATAGCTTAAAAACATACGGCCACAATAGCATCTAAAGTTAGCACACTCACCCACCAGCTCACCGTCAGCATTGATATTGACTTGGTGGTCAGTCCTTTCTGTATTCGACGAACGTTCGTTATTACTTTGCCTTTCATTTCCAGCATGAGACGGATGACCAACGCGAGATTTGCATCGCCAAATGTGTCTCCCCAAAGATTTAAAATCTTTGCCACAATATTCACAGATTGTCGCTTTAATAGTCCAGAGTTGCCCCATAATCAACCAGAACAACATAATATTTGCCAAGTAGAAGCCTTTCATCTTCATACTGAATTTGTAAAAGCTCAAAACTATCGAAAGTGCAGTTAAACAAGAAAGCTTTTAAAAATATGGCAGGAGCGCCGAAAGCATGACCGCCCCCAACGCTGATCACTGCATAATAATAATAATAATAATAATAATAATAATAATAATAATAATAATAATAATAATAATAATAATAATAATAATAATAATAATAATAATAATAATAGAGCGTAACATAGTTTTTCGTTTTACCTCAAAAAACCACAACAATCTGTTTCATCCGTATAGGAATCATCAGGTGGCTGAAATGAGTGAAATCCCAGCCAAAAAAGTTATTTATCGGTAGAATAAACAGATTTAAAACCTTTTAAGCCACCATGTGTGCGCACCGTGTTGCAGAAGCGGTTGTGCTTTGCATTTGAGGTATATATTAAGAGTTAAATGAAGTATAGGCATATATTCCGCTGTGCATCTGACTTGGGGACACGCATAATCAGAAAACCCAGAATTCCGGGCGCCAGAGTACGCCTGTTCGCAGGTAGTGCTGTGTATAATATAGTTAACAAAAACAATCATGACCAAAGACACCAAAAACAAACGGATCAAAATTGTATTTTAAAATACTTAAAACATGGAAAAATTGGGAATCGACTTGCAATACCTCAATCCCATTCCCATTTTTGAGGACTTCATTTCCCATTCCCAGTGGCCAAATCCCAGTCCCAGCAACCCAAATCCCATTTTCCCAGTCTAAAAATAGATCAATCCCAGTTCCCATTTTGCCCCTTCAGGACCCTTTCCAAAAACTACTTTAGTAAAAATCTATAATACGTTAAAAATTGAAAGTTCAAGATGTTCCAAGCAGTTCATTAAAAGGTATCTATTATAATGTATATATATAAATATATATTAGCTAAAATGAAGTTTTAATAGTTTATAAAAATCTTCAGAACTTGTTGCAGATCTAATATTCAATGGCAGCTTTTCGTGCCTATTCAAGTTTTATGGTTGGTATAAGTTTATCAAACAACTTCGGTTTCGTGTTTCACGTTCATGATCTTTAATTACAAAATGATCCATTAAGGCCTCCGAGATATTGCCATCTAACGTCCTTCTAACTATTTCACAGGCACGCTTCTTCCTTAAATCCATAATTGATGGGAGCTCTGAATCAGGTTGAAAATCTTTAAAAATAACTTTAGTGGCTCGTTCCCAAAAAGAAGCTAATTTATGCAGTTGTGTTGACGTTAATTAAAAATTTAAAATTCCGCAGTATGTCAGAAGCGGTGTGATCATTGACTGATAAATCGTTCTCGCCGAGTCCACGTTTAAATTATCGGCCTAATTTTGGATAGTAGACGTAACCTTGTTGATGCACGTTTAAAACAAGCATCAAAATGAGTGTTAAGATTTAATGTGGAGTCTGTGAGATTAATAACTGTATATATGTATATGTATATATATTTATATATATATATATATATATATATATATATATATATATATATATATATATATATATATATATATATATATATATATATATAGTATTTAAAACACGAGTAGGAGCTAGTGTTTTATCAGATATATAACGCGAGGCCCAGCCGAGCGTTATATATCTGATAAAACACGACAACGAGTGTTTTGAATAGCTTAAAATACGACTACAAAAGAATATTAATTAGGATGAACCATAGTATAATCATGCTAAATGCTAATTAAGATGAACAATTATATAATGCCACATGTGTTTTATCAGATATAAAGTCACTCCACGTGACATATTATGGCTGACATGATTTGCCACAAGGTTTATGAATTATTAATGTCTGAGTGTTTTAATGACTCTTTGCCCTTACTCTTTCTTTACATTGCAGTTCGACGTACATATATTAGCTAGAATTTGTTATTAACCTTATAAACACTGCAAGTTTTCCAGTTCTGTTTTGATATAATGTAGCTTTAAGCCTAGGCCTATAAGATATCGTTAAAATTTTGGACTTGCAAAAGGTAGAAAACCGCCTTCACGTTGTTAACCCAAATCATTGAAAAACTGATGAATCTCGGAAAGATATAGAATACATTCTTGAGTCAAAATCACCAAGCGTAAAGTACATTTATTTTCGACCCTCGACATTCCACCCTCGCCCACACACCCATGTTTTTTTCACACTCCTCGAAAAACTGAGAATCAATCATTCAATCACCAGGAAATAAAATATCTCATCAAATATCACATATCAAATAACTCAACGGCCACACACAGCTGCCACATGCTAAACGTATCAACAGCACACAAAATCGCTCATCGCATTGAGTACTGAAGTGAGACATCACTTTGTCTTTATATATTGATCATGGTAAACTGCCATACTTCCCTGGGTCTCTTCCTTGTGCTGCTGTCTGCTTGCGTGATACATGCAGACGTTTCATGTGAGGCGACAAAGAAAAACATTCCAACGATGACCAAAGATAATATATTTTTTAATAAAACCACGCCATTGGTTATTGGACATCGAGGAAACCCAATGTTCTACCAAGAAAATACTCTGGCGGGTTACAAGAGTTTACTTGACCTAAATGTGGACGGATTTGAGACGGATATATTCTTAACGAAAGATAAGAAATTGGTTTTATTTCACGATGTCAACACCAAGGTATGTAGAAAGACTAATGTAATTATTATTATAATCAAACTGGTCAACTTCTCAGATCCGCTTTATCTGGTGTCTATAGTGTGCAGTATAGGTTTGTAAACTTGCTTACGTGAGGGAAGCACGTTTAAAAATGTGTTTATTGTTCATTGCCACATGTACTAGCTCATTTTGTCGTTTGATAAATTATAAAATTCCTATAAATTCGAGTGCTCCCATATAGACATGCATTTACGAAAATTAAATCAATTGCGGATTGATAAGCACAATGCTGTACTGATCGATAAGTATAATTCCATATTTTTGACAAGAAATCCAATTGAAACTCCACTTCCGTATTGTGCTTTCCTAGCACAACCAATTTGATCGTGTGTCGTGGATAGAGTCGTGCGTTGTGGGACGAAAAATGCCCTAAAATTCGGGGGGGGGGGGAAGTTGGCTATAAAACAGCTTTTGCCGAATAATTTCTGTTTTAGTAAAACGCTGGATATTTGAAAGAAATTGTTCTTGACATTCCTTTTTTTTAATCTATATCTTGCACTTATCTCATTGTCCGGCGTGCATGTCAATATACCATGGACATTGTATATTTTTAATTTTAACTTTTTAACTGTTTGTAATTGTATATCATATATTTTTTCAAAATGTGTTATAAAATAGATGAAATAGCTTAAAGGTGATGTAAAGTCCGTAATGTAAACATAAACAAACGCTTTGTTTACATTTTGAACTCACTGCTACAGTTGTAAACTATGATTAGATATATTACACTGAATTTTTAACACTTTTCTGGTTCGTTATGCTTGTAAATGAGAATATATGCGCAGAACGGATTTTGTATTTAGTCTGATGATGTCGCTTGTAATGTGACGAAACGTTACTCAATAAATTTATATACCAAATGTTTTTTGAATATGCATGCCTCTTTTACGAGTTATTTGCTGGGCAATAATATTTTTAACTGAAATTCTTCATATTATTCTCCCATTTCGCAAATACCATAATGATTTCCGACTTGGGCGTATAATTGAGAAAATGGGGGACAGACAGGAAGTATCAAGTGCGGAGCTTTTAAATTCGTTCAATACGTTCAAGGACGTTGCACAGCTGTCTAAAACGAAATTAAAGCATATCGCTAAAACAGTTTGGAGATTGATCATGACATTGAGAAGTCGTTTGAAAAGAAAGCCATACATAACCTCGTCTGCAATGGTTTAATATATCAACTTCGTCTTCGAGTTTGTCCGTGCCTTTGCCCCAAAACGCTGAGACACGAGTTTGCCTTCGCTAAGACAGCTGGATTAAGTAGCCTGAAAACAGACCTACGTTTCGCCCACCCTAAAATTCGCGGGTCGACGGACCCATTACCAGAATTTGGAAATATGTGGGTCCCACGAGGTTGTTACAACACATCATTCTCCACCGATCCAGAGGAGATGAAGACGATCGATGCTTGTTGTCACGCACATGGAGACAAACCGAAGCCATTATTTGCATATTGTACCTGCACAGTTGGAAAGCGATTTTTGCAAGTTTGATTTTGCCACCGAAGTGTTGAGAGTACAAATTTAAGTATAAATTGTTTTTTCATTAAACATACAGCTTGAGAGGTAATTGCAGTCATGTTAGTGCTTTGTTGTTTGCCTCGGCTGACATTATTGCAGAAGGAAAAGTGCAAATCCCTTCAGACCCTATTTGTACAGACTTGCCTTGCTCATGGACAGAACCTAAAGGTAAAAATTATGTTCCTATTTCGTACATGATCTAACATGTTTACATGATTCTAAATTGCAGTGTTTTATTGTTCTTTCCTCTACAAATAAGTCTCACGTTTGTGATAATTATTACATTGCCCGTTTATCATATAAATACACATTTATTATGCTGATCTGGGTTTTTTGTAGCGCATTATATTTATGTACAAAGTATACAATAAACAGAATAATAGACTCTTCATGGTTAAGAATGCATTCATGGCAAAATTGAAAAGAAATACATATTCAATAGATTGCAAAGGTCAATATTGCCAATATTTCTTTTCAATCTTGTTCTTATTAATATTAACCTGCACATAATCTTAATTGTGAAAGTTGTGTGATTGTTTGCACAAAGATATTGGACGCTTGGAAATATGAAATTTATTTTTTGTATTGAGCAGGATATCTCACATGTTTTGCTTGCTCACTTGCGAGATATTCTGGTCAACACTTAACTAAAATAAATTTAGTATTTCTGCACATTCTTCTTTGAAGAATTATCTTTAAGAATTGTTGGTCTCAACTACCTGTAAAACATAATGGGAGTAATGAATATTTTATAGCACTCTCACCAATTTAATGGCTAATTTGCTCTTTTTCCAGGTGCCAAAGTAAAGCCAGCAATGGTTGAAAATATAAATATTTAAAAGCCAAAGTGGGACAGCAACCACCTGTAAAGAAGTTTCAACCATCTCCTGCATAACAGAGTAACTATACAAGAATGAAGACGAAAATCCTGTGATGAAGGAAAGACGAAAATGCAACTTGAGGCAGGCAATTTTAGAAGCTAATATGGGTAAACCTGTGCCTACCATAGTGTACCCGTTATCCAAGGTGGAAAATGACCCTGCCTCAGATACACCGATAACCAACCGGTATGTGAACTTAGTTTACCAGATGTGAGTTGTGAGAATGATGCAAGTTTAGCTGTTCGTTGTGATATCGAGGGACACACTAGCTCATATGCAAACACTGAAGATGTCAGTTAACATCGAAGATGGCTTGGATCATAATCCTGGCAATAAAATTTGTTTGCAAGAAATTCGAAAAAAAGCAAAAAATTTCTTGAGTGAAATATATATGTATGCCAAGCGTGCAATTCGAAAAGTCGACTAGTCCAACTAAAGCACTGTGTGAGATATTAGGCTACAAGAAGCCAATCCGAACATCATACATGGAGGATGGAAAGAATTCAGAGCCAGAAATTACACAACTGTATGAAAAAAGGAACAATTATGTTAATGTCAAACCATGTGGATTTTTTATTTCGGCCACACATCCATTTCTTGGTGCAACATCAGATGGCCTGGCTGGGAAAGAGAGTACAACTAAAATAAAAAAGATCCACCCAAACACTGGAGAATCCTTATTGGATGCCATCAAGAGGCAGCATATAATCAAGAAAATAGGTGGTCGGATCTCGTTTAATTAATAACAATCACCTCTACTATTACCAAATTCAACAACAGCTGTTTTGTTCAGGAAGGTTATGGGCAAGCCTTGATAAAATATTTTTCTTCCTGGCAGCATGCTTCCCAGACCAAAAATTTCCTGCCAATTTTTTTTATAAATATGAATTTTGGTTGTAATACTACCTTACTTAGTGATATACTACCTCAATATTAAGAAAAATATAGGTTTACTAGAATTAGGAACATGAAGGAATTCTATGAAACAATATTTGAATTTTGTTTTCAGATTGTAAATCAGAATTTATATCAGTATTCATGCACTATTCAATAATAGTAGTACGCCCTTGTTTTTCAAATGTATCATAATCATGAATCATGATAACAGACAGTCGTAGCACTGCCACATGATACAATTTTTTATGTTATGATTGTTGTATTTATGCTCTAACTGTGATGTTTGTTACTTTTATGCTGATTTTTGAAATTTCTCGAGCTTCATTCTTGATATCTTGCTTTTCCTTAAAAAATTTCCTGGCAGCATGCTGCCATGCTGGCGGACTTTCTCATGCCTTAGTTATGGGCTGATTTTGTTGCTTCAGATGGAAAGGACTTATTTGTTCTGCACATTGTTTACTGTCAGGAATTTTTGGAATAGCAACTACCCAGACTGAGAAAATTATATTATGACATTATACTTTATTGGAACTTGCATATCCTCGGGTGAAGTTTGGACTCAACAGAATTGGTAAACTTCGAATTACTTAATATGAATCCCTCCGCACTGTGGTAAGCCAAGAATGATCATTACAAATTTCAATGAATTATTAAAGTGGCTCCATAGGGTTTCTACAATAATTAACTAAATAGCCACAAACAGTAAATATTTGTTCAGCTAAGTGTGTCATAGTCAAAGGTATTTCAATTCCAAGAATACGGTAGATCTTGATCCTCTGTATGGCTCTCTCCACATTTTATCCCGCCTCAGCTATATTCTCTGACTTTCTGCCTTCTTAAAATCTCTTAAAATCTGGGATGACAACTTTAACACCTGGAACACTTAACACATCTTCAATGTCAAATCCACTGTCAGCCATTATTTCATCTCCCTTCTTCACTGCATCTAGTAAGTCATTGCAGTTGATGTAATATGTTTATCTGTTGTGCAGCCCCCCCCCCCCCAAGCCCGAGAAACATAAACATTTGCTGCATGTGTGTCAATTCCAACTAGAAACTTGAATGTTGTGTGGTCCTTTACGATTGGAATATATGTCCTTGCATGCTTTCAAGGATGATGATTTCTCTGTAAAAATTTCTGTACAATCAATGATAATCTTAACATTTGGAAAATTGGAAAACTGCTTGGTCTTCCCTTCATCCATAGATTCTGGCATTTGACAAAGGTCTTTTAATTCAAAGTACATTATATTGATCCAAGTGGTGAATATTTTGCTAATATTGCCTTCACTTAGCATAAAACGTCAGTCAAGGTGAGTCCAAGTCTGAGGCGAATCAGAACCATGAAAAATTCTTCCTCAAGCGAGAACTTGCATGGTTGGGGCCCCTCTCTTTCTTTCTGTCACATCTACCTTGTGTAACATATCTGACCCCCGTCCAGTTTCTCTTGTGTACTAAAGCACTCTCCTGCGGGTACTCATTTGAAGAAAGCCCTGAAAGAACCATAATTAGGGAATACAGTCCAGAACTGGAACTTTGAATCATCATGCTTCAATTCGTCTAGAATGAGGCATTGTGACCGAAGATTTTTGTTTTCTTCTTCAAGTTTCTGTACTTTACTTTCCAAATCAGTGATATGCCTCAAGGTTTCTGGATCTACATTTAGGTTGCCTGGATAAAACTGTGGTCTACAGTAATCATGTGCTTTTAGATTATTTAAATTAACAAGCTTTTATAATAATTATCTTTTTTTATATATGAAGGCAGTTTACAGAGATTTTGGCGTAAAATAAACTATTAAATATAATAAAGTGACTTGTATAATGTGATAACTGAACTCGACGTGCTACTGGCATTTAACGAAAACGTTTCGTTTTAAACCGTTCAGTATACATACGCCTAGAACAGCACTGTTTACAAAACCAAATATTTTTGTTTAATCACTCGATTTATACTAAGTTGACAGTCTATGCAAAACGGTCAAGACTCTTTTTTATATCCAGTGCAGGCAATAGTGAACTGAATACAGTCAAAAGCTTACCGGTATTCTTCGTTGTCTCTCTGGCTTTTGTTCTGCGATAACTTCCAGTTCTGTATCTTTAGTGGCACTGACACTGTTCTTCGTTGTCGTTGGCACTGTTTATGTCAATTCAGACCGTGTAAATACCGAAGGAACAAAATTTTGACTGGCCTTTTCATTTGACTTGAATCCGTTGGCGAAATGACAAGAACACAGTCGTGTGTTTTCAGAAGGCACAAAATCACGCCTAATTCTAGCCAGTCAGCTCTTTCTCCTGTTTTTTTCTTTCGGGATTCTGTTGAATTGTAGTTCAGGGCTTTCTGTCATTTGAACATCCAGGAGCACAACAATAATCATTTTTACCCATTGTATTAAACATTTCCGCTATCCGCAATATCTGCGACACCAATATATTTTCTTTTTGAAATTTCCCCCAAGGCGCAAAGCATTATGGTATATTTGCGAAATTGGAGAATGACACTTGTTAAATGAACACGTATAGGGTTCATATAACATAAATCTTACGGTATATCCGGAATAGAGCCATTGCGTCCTGGTGGTCCTCTGTAAAACTCTATGTTAGTCTGTTATATTTATATGATTAAACCTATTAAGCACCAGCATGGTGCTTATATGCGATACATTGCTCTGTGACAATATGTTAATTGGTTTCCTACGGTACGAATTAGGACAGTAGGAAAGTATATCATTATGACAAAGGTTAAGCAGTATTCCCAAGAGGGCGCCGCCGTCTGAAGCAGAGGTATAAAAGGATGTTGTTTTTCAAGCGAAGTATTCCGGTCAGTGAAGTAGCAGCTCAAACTTTGACTTGGAAAAATTGAACTAGTTTTTCATTCCTTGAATTTTCGAAGTTTACAACTTTATCATTTGCTGACTGAGCGGGCAGCTAGCTGCTGTCTTGGTCCCGACCAGATTTCCTGGGGCCGATTGTATAAAAAAGTGATTAAAGTTAACTATAGTTAGTGGAAACGTCATCCAATAAAAAGCGCGTATTTGAGAGTTAATCACTATTTAACTACAAAATAGTGATTAAAAAAGTGATTAAGAGTTTTATACAACGGCTCCCTGGTGGAAGGTTTTCTTCAGCTTCGAAGACGAAGGGAAACATTGGAAGACAAGAAGATAAAATCGAAAATGCGAACATGGTTTTATCATGAGCCGTTATAATTATATCATTAGCCGTTTTGTCATTAGTCATCGCAATAGACTATAACTCTCGTTGCATAAACATTAAATAATATGTTGTCTCATATCTTTATTGGACACGCGTGAATTTATAACAAGTGTTATTATCACTCGTTCATGTGAATACAACAGAATTGTAAGTACTAGTTAAAATATGAGCAGCTAATCTTTATGGGCATTGTTAAATACCTTTAAAATACTCATTAATAATTCATAAACCTTGTGGCAAATCATGTCAGGCATAATATGTCACGTGGAGTGACTTTATATCTGATAAAACACATGTGGCATTATATAATTGTTCATCCCAATTAGCATGATTATATAATAGTTCATCCTAATTAGTATTCTTTTGTAGTCGTATTTTAAGCTATTCAAAACACTCGTTGTCGTGTTGTTTTAAATAGTACTTCAAACACTAATTAATAATTCATAAGCTTATTGGCAAATCATGTCAACCATAATATGTCACGTGCAGTGGCTTTAAACCTGATAAAACACTCCTAATTAGTATTCTTTATATAAAGAATACTAATAAGGCTGTATCTATTGTAGTCGTGTCCTCATTAGTATTGTTTATATAAAGAATACTAATAAGGCAGTATATCTATTGAATTTGTAGTCGTGTTTGAAGCCGTTTAATAAACGAGCAGGAGTGTTTTATTAGGTCTAAAGCCACTCGCGCTGCGCGCTCGTGTCTTTAAACCTAATAAAACACTCCTGCTCGTTTATTAAACAGTACATAAAGATTAGCTGCTCATATTTTAATGTTAGGTACTTGTAAAATGAATTTATTTATTTACTTTATTAGTATTCACTGCCCAAGGGGACAATCTCACGCTTCATTCGCACATCCCTCCATAACCGGTCTTTCTGATCTTTATTGCGGTTTACAAGTGTGCACATGTGACCTAAATACCGCGTCGTGATTTGTTTGTGGCCTTATTAATTATTCATGAATTTTACAAATGATGTTAGAAGACTTTTACTAATAAAGAGCTGTCATACATGTCTGGGCCACAGCAAGTGTTCTCCATGCAATGGTCGCTGCAGTTGTGTATGCGTCAAGTAGAAATGAATTGTTAAACCAGGCACCAGTAACATATGTTGCATATTTATCCCCTCCTTCATGCCTAAGGCTATGTTTACATTGTATCGGATCACTTTGCGTCCGACGCAAAAACCGTACCGGATAGGGCTTCTGTTTACATATCAAATGTTGTTATCGTCTCAATTTCTGCAACGGACCGGTGGTGCGGCGGTTCGCTCCTCGAAGTGGTGCGCGATGTATCGGATCGCTTTTTGCAACGCTCTCATTGTAATGTAAACACAAATCGGAGCAATTTTCGGTTCAATACGTGACTCAAGATGGCATCTGGGAAACAAAGACTTGCTATTCTAATCTTATTTGCGGGTATAGCTTGCTCACTTATAATATTTTTGTATTTAGATGGGCGAGGACGGAAGCTGTTTACACTTGGGCCGTAACGTTTCGTGAACGAACCAAAAACCGATCCGATACAATGTAAACATAGCCTAAAATTTGCATTAAAAAGACAAGCAATAAAAACACTTCGTGTTCGAACAAATGTCAAGAGTGCAGTAAGATGGCCAGAGTTTGGGTCGTGGGCAAAAAGTCGTGCGTCGTTGGTAAAGTTCGTGGGTCGAAAAATACCCTAAACCTTTCGGTATTTTCCCGGACTTTTTTAGATTAATTCCGAGCCCCACAGTGAAATTGAAAGAAAATCCCAGAGCATGTTCTTCATCTATGTCAGATGACTCACCCTCTTTAGAACTAGTTTTGCCGAGAAAAAGGTACGTATGATTGACTTAATAGAAGAAAAATTGCACTGTAGCAGTTCTTGAAGTTATTTTACTCTGAAATGTCCAACTACTAACACTTTTCAAAATGGCCTTTGCCTCGGTTTGCCCATTCCCATTTTTGTGTCTTTCATTCCCAGTCCCAATAACCCAAATCCAATTTTCTCAGTCCAAAAATAGGGAAATCGAAGTTCCCATTTACCCCTTCAGGGCTCACATAAGATCACTTTGCTTTCGAACTACCCTGCGTAGCAGTATGCAGACTATACGTTTGGACTAAAGTCAAGAGAGCAGCATGATGTCCAGGCGGCAGATACATATGACACAATTAATTAAAGAAAACGTTTACTTAATTAGATGCATAATAATACCTCGTACTCCGACAAAAATTAAAATGCCCGCACACACTAACAAACACAGGCAAACACTTGCTGAGTTCATAGTCTGTTCAACTAGGGTTATATGTCCTGCTCATAAGCGGTAATTTTAGCTGCTTTGGAGCTATTTCTGCTCTACTTGATCCAATTATAAATTTAGTAATGATCGATTTCATGCGCGCATTATATGTATGTCGGTATCTCGCCGAAAATGCGCTTATATATATTGATTGCATCATCCATGGGTACAGTTTTAGCCATATCATTTCTTTACTTGCCAGCTGCATGGACATTCTGCTGCGCTCTTGATTTTAGTTGAAACACAACCTGCGTTAGCGTATACTGCTAAGCAGGCTAGTTCGAAAGCAAAGTTCTTTTATCACTTGTCTCGTCAATGCAAGGTTCAGACATGAAGATGGAAATAAATATGCATATTCATCCAATTCCTAGTTTAACTGTAGAATTAACAGAACGTCGAGTTTTACAGAGAAGCACCTGGACGCATTGACTTTTATTCCAGATATAAGGTTTATATTATGAATCCTACGGTTTCAATAATATGCAATCGGATCCAAATACAATGTTATAATATAAAGAATTTCGGTTAAATATTCAGTTGAACATTGGCGATCGTTTACACGCCAGTGCCGTAGCCAGAACGATAATTGGGGGGGGGGGGGCACATATTCATATCTTCGTGTTCTGCTTTATTAATTTCTTTTGAAATCAATTGTTTTTATGGTATGTGAACACGAATATATGAATATGTGCTCCCCCCAATTATCGTTCTGGCTACGGCACTGTTACACGCGTTTTTCTGCAACATTGATTATTCGGCAAAGGTACTCTTTCACCAAACCCTGAAAATTTATATAGAAATCACAGAACGCCGAGTTTTCCAAAAGGAAATTTATGACTTTTTTGACCCACGACGCACGACTGTTTTATCCACGACACATTACTAAAACTAAAACTAAAACTCTTTTCCTAGCAACCCAAGAACATCTATTCTTCCCTCGCAAACAAGCATTATATGTATTTAAAGTAAAATGAATATAACTGCATGGAACGCTATGGGTTAGGATAAAACACGGATAACGGACGGATGGATGAATGACGGACGGACGGACGGATGGCGACGGACGGACCGGACGGACAGACGAACCTGACGCACGACTTATGTTCTCGCTAAATGTCATTTTTGGTCCAAAAATGTTATTTTCACCCTTTTTTATATCCGCATTTTATCCAAAAGGATAAAGCGCGCGGATATGGTGCAACTTTCATGCTTAATTTTCTCAGTCATCTGGGAATGTAGTAATCTAATTTTACGCAATGTAATGTGCTGTTTTTTCAAGGGCTTTTCAATGCAATTATCCGTTTAAATATACCTAAAATTCCCGTTAAGATATGACAATTGTCGTACGGCCTACTTTACGCAAACGCAAATTAGCTACAGTTGTAACTTTCGGCTTAATTTTCTCTGTTATCTGGCCATGTAGTAATCTAAATTTATGCAATGTAGCGTGCTATTTTTCAATGGCTTTTCAATGCAGTTATCTAAATATATCTAAAATTCCTGTTAAGATATTACACAATATTGCCGTAGGGCCTACTTTTACTGCCGGACATATAATCTGTGACATAGTCACTTCGTTAAACTTTACTATTCTGTCAGAATTTATGGTATACGTAGTGTTATAGGTCCACACTTCACAGCAAACATTCTCTCGTTGTTGTTGAGATTATATTTATCATGATACGAGCACAAACATTAACAATAACAGTACAAGTCGAAGGGCCTTCGCTCGAAACATTGAAGTTCTCCTTGTATTTTAGTTAATTTTCAGGTTTATTCTTATTTGTATCAGTCTATCAATCCGAGTTTTCGTGCATATTCACTGACCCCAGAATTTTTAATTGTTTTCAATTGATTTGAGTTTAAAAAGTATCATCCAACTAAACTGCTTTTGCCAACCGACTGTTTTTACTTCATAATTAAACAAACTCAAATTTTACTTCGGTCCTCTAATCACTTTGCTCTCTTTCACATGTTAACTTTCATTCATTAAAATACTCATTAAAAATTCATAAACCTTGTGGCAAATCATGTCAGCCATAATATGTCACGTGGGGTGACACCTTATATCCGATAAAACTCATCTTCATTAGTATTCTTTATTTTATTTGTTCATCCTAATTAGTATGATTATATAATGGTTCATCCTAATTAGTATTCCTTTGTAGTCGTATTTTAAGCTATTCAAAACACTCGAACTCGTGTTTTAAATACTACTTTATTTTCATAAACAGGGTAATTTATTTAGCTCAGTTGGTTAGAGCGCTGCACCGGAATCGCAGGGCCGTAGGTTCAATTCCTACCAGAGGACCTTGTGCTTCATTTTTCGCAGTCGTTCCTGGTTAGGTCTTAAAATGTATATATTCTCACTTGGATTACAAACCCTAACATTCTAATAATTTACAATACTTACAGTGTGATTGAAAAGGAAAGCAGTGCATGTTTTACCGCTCTTACGCAAGTCCCTTTGGCAGTCGGCACAAAAAGAAAGCTTTGGCTCTCGGCAGTGCTGAAGTTGGGTGTGAGTGCAATCCTATCTGGCAAGAAATTCACCAGTTGTTTGTGAAGCATGTTTTCGCGGCGGTAATTGTTCATAAAGATTGAAGAGAAACGTATTTCCGCCTGCCATGATTATTAACACTAAATTGTAATTTTAGAACTCTTATCTCGCAGTGAGTATTTAAGCGAAGAGACATTGATTTTTATTTGTTCAAATTCTAGGACAATATTCAATATTCTTTATAAATATATAGATATGCCCTTATAAAACGTTTTTTGGAACATATCCGCGTTTTATCCTTTTGACTAAAACGCAGTATGACTAAAAAAAGGCTGAAAAAGTCTTCTGAACCATATCCGCGTTTTATCCTTTTGGATAAAACGTGGATATCAGTTAAAAAAAGCTGATAAAGTTTTTGGACCATATCCGCGTTTTATCCTTTTGGCCAAAACGCGGATATGACTGTTGAAAAACAGCACATTTAAAACATTGGAGTAAAATACATTACTACATGCCCAGATCGATAGCAGAGAAAATTAAGAACGAAATTTGCAGTTGCAATTTGTGTTTGCGTAAAAGTAAGCCGTACGGCAAAATTGTCATATCTTAACGGGAATTTTAGGTATATTTAAACTGGTCCAATAACTGCATTAAAAAGCCCATGCAGATAACACTGATAACAGAGAAAATTAAGCCGAAAGTTACAATTGTAGCTAATTTGCGTTTGCGTAAAAGTAGGCCGTACGACAATAGACCTTTCCCCTTATGCCAGATGATCAAACTGATTATCAATTTCCCGTTTGTCCGCCAGTCCGGTCCGTCCGTCGCCATCCGTCCGTCATTCATCCGTCCGTCCGTATCCGCGTTTTATCCTAACCCGGAACGCTATACCTTCAACCGGAAATTTGAAGCCAAACTTGAAGGTCATGTCGCAGCTGTCGTTTCACGCATGCACAGAAAGCGGTCAAAAGAGCTTTGTAAAAGCGCTCAAAGCTTTCTACTAAAGTTATGAATTTATTTAGGTAAAACGCCCTAGTAGACATTACTTTTAATTTATTTCTTTTTCCTTATGCGAGAAAATCGCGAAGCATAAACACGCGGGTCTTGATGAGATTTGGCTTCAAGAAAAAGATAAGCAGTTTATCTGAAGGTAGTGTTCCATGCAGTTACATACATTCTACTGGTACTACATTTCTGGTTCGTACACATTTCTAGTTTGTACAACAATTTCCCCGTTTACGTAAAAATGATTTATCCTGTTCGCTGAACCAAAAGTGTCCAAAAAAATCAATTTCGGCTGACACAGGAAAGATTTGTTATTTTACAGTCTTCTTCATCTTTGAACTTGTGTTTGAAATGAACGTGAAGTAGTATACAAATAATGAATGTTTATGAGCGCAATGGTAAAAATAGGTACACTTGACGATACATGTATCTACACAAAGGAATTGCATGGTTGCTATGAAAAAATTTCATTCGCAATTATTGAGTAAACATTTATATTTTGAAGTGACTATTATACAGCCAGCAACCGGCTCTTTAGCAAACTGCTGGCTATACAGTGACAATAGTTAGTGTTGAATTTGTATAGGATAAACCGATCCCAACCACAAATCTTTCTCGGTATCAACTTCATGTAGCCCTCATTATAGTATATAAGATTGATCCCAACCCTCACTCCACCTAACCCCATGGCCAGGTAATGTTTATATTTTTAACTATAGTCACTAGTATACAATATAGCCGGCATTTTCTAAATACCCGGCTGCCGGCTGTATAGTCACTTTGTTTATATTTGATAATATGTCAAAAAATGTTCAGATTGCAGTTCTACGAAAACCGCAATCAACTGTCAGAAAGCCACTAGTTTTTATAATAAAAACAGACAGAATAAGAGTTATATACAGGAATGGGTACAGAATTATGTATGCTAAATAAAAAAAACATACAATCTGTAAAGAAATTTTTGACTAACTCAACTTATGACGCAATCGTATAATTCTAAGATTTTTGTAACTAATGCACCATGTAACAAAATTATAACGTAACATAATTATTTATAAAATAACCTTTTAATAACGCCTGCGCTGATTGGTTGAAAACCGAAAAATCCCGTGTTTCTATAACGCTACAGAACACGGGAAGTTTCCACGAACCTCAAAACAACACACTAAAACAAACGTTTTTGCCTGAAATATCGATTAAAAATCTTCGTCAACCTGAAATTTTGTTAAACAAGCAATGGAAAACACTTACCAAACGTTTTTTCGCTTTAAATTTTCTTTTAACTAATCAACTTTTTCAGCGTGTTTTTTTCCATAATTTTGCAGTCAGCAAAACTGAAAATTGATGCCGGTATTGTTGCTAGGCAACATTTTCTTGTTATTGTGTAATGAGAATATACTTTTTAATCGCGTTAAAAATATTGTTTTTATGTTATTATCACAAGGTTATTTAATGAAGGAAATAGAAAACATTTTTTCCTGTGTTTCTTTAGAGTTATAGAAACACAAGTTATCTATTTGAATTTAATTCCATCGGTGTTAGTATAGAAATTATAATAGAATGAGCCACGATTACGATACGAATAGGATTTTGAATGATTGAATTTCAATAAAACCTTAGTGCAATGGAACAAATCGTATAGCACAAAAATGTACGGCTGAGTGTGCAATACTGATGGTAATTTTTTATTCAATATCACGTGATCGTAATCAGTCAATTAAATTAGCAGAATTTAATGAATAATTAATACAATAATATTATTGAACTCGGCAATCGTAAGATAGATAGATAGATAGATCAACTTTATTTAAACACATTGGCCTTTTCAGCAAAAGCTGATTTCCAAAAGGGATGTGTACTTACAAATTATTATTTATATACTAGCTCTAATATTACATACATAACAAATACAATTATATACCTATTTAGACAAAAAATTAACTACTACTTTAAGTCGAGATTAAGGTCGAGGAAGATAGCTTTTTACAGAACGAATTATACGATATCGAATTGCGTATCTCTTCAGGTATCTGATTCCATAGTTTAGCCCCACTATATTGGAAGCTTTTTTTTAAGGATTCCGTTTTTGGTCTTGGAATATAAAACCTTGTTGAAGAACCTCTCAGATTATGGTCATGAATGGTATTCAGATTTTGGAAAGCTTCGCATAGTCGTTGGGGGCTAAACCATTAACTGTCTTGTACATGAGCCTGGCTTTCATTTGTGCCCTACGCTCTTCAAGTGTTACCCAGCCTAGAGATTTTCGTGCCAAAATAGACTGACCATGTTCATTTTTTAAGTTCATGATCAACCTAGCCGCTCTGTTTTGGAATTTCTGTAGACGTTCACTTAGGCCTTTATTAAGTGTATCCCATACTTCACAGCAATAATCAAAATAAGGTTGGATTAAGGCATTATAAACTTTTATCAAAATGTCTTGTTCGACATACTCCCTCGTTT